ATATATATATATATATATGTACATGCATACATATACACAAATACATTCATAAATTTATATGTATATATGTATATATACACACATACGTATGTATCTATACAAATATATCAAGTTTGCGCTACATACACGTCGATCCATGCGCTACAAATATGCTTCTGAAGATACTCCTGCGTTGCGGGGGGACGCCCCTGTATCATCTGGGTGCACATATGTACATGCACTGCACACGCAAAAACTAATTGAAATCTGCTCGCAGCTGGCTACAGGACGCGTTGCTGCTCGCTGCTGGCGAACCATGCTGCGCGAGCTGACGGGCAATGTCTTCCTTCCTCCACCTTACCTCATCATGTTCCTTGGGGCCTCTCGGGGTCCTTGGTCACTGCTGCCTCTGCTGCTCTGCTGATGTTGCTGCTGCGAGCGGGCGAGCAAAAGTGGAGCAGGAGGAATTTGTCCCTCATCATCCGCTAGCGTTTGAGGTCAACTGTCAATCAGTTGGCCTCGGCCCTCGGCCGAACTACGACGCGAGGGAAGTGGGGCCGCTCCGCTCTCAGGGCGCAGCGGCCACATCCTCGACTCCTCACTCTTCGCCCCACAGCCATTGTAGGATGGGCCCTTCGGGCCGGGCTGGCTGGGCGTCGACGGCAGCAGCGTCGGAACGCGAGCTATGAGGCCCCCCCTCACTCCCCTCCTCCCCCCCCCCCTCCTCCTCCTCCTCGCCGGGCATCTCGCGAGCGGCCAGCGCCGCTGGATTCCTTGCAGCGCCCCCTGCGAATGCGCTGGGATCCCCCAGAAGCGGAGGGCGAGTTGGAGGACAACGGAGATGGGAGAAGGAAGAGGGGAGATCATGCAGGTGAGGATGAGGAGGTCATCCTCATCCGCAGCATCTCCCCCCCCCCCCTCCACTTCCCCGCCCCCCCCCCCCCCCTCCCTCAGGAAGTGGGGGGGAATTGGGCGGGGAGAAGGCGACGAGGAAGAGGAGGAGGAGGAAGGTTGCAGGAAGGAGGTTTACAAGTGTTAGAGGATCACTCCTCCTGCAAGAGCAACTTCGACTTCGACTGCGTCCTCTGCCGCTGCTGCTGCTGCTGCCGCCGCTGCTGCCACCTCGGATGCCGAACCCACTTGCCCGTCAGGGTGAACTTCGGCGCCGCCGCCGCGGCCCTCGCCGCCTTCGCCGCCCTCCTCTTCTTCTGCCCCTGACCTCCTCTCCTCTTCTGGGGCCTCCTCTGCCGATGGGTCGGATTGGGCTGGGGCTCGGGCTGGGGCGGCTGCTTCTTCGGCGGCGGCCGCGGCGGTGGTCCAGGCGGTGACTTCGGCCGATGGTGCTCCTTCTTCGGCGGCGGCCGCGGCGGCGGCCCAGGCGGTGACTTCGGCCGATGGGCCGCCCACTTGGGTCGTCGATCCAGTCGTCGACGCATCAGCGACGCATCAGCGATGCGCCCGCTGCCCAGCGCCCCAGGGTCCCAGGGCCCAGGAGATGCGTGGGCTACCGTGCTACATGTTCAACTCAGCTCACCCACTTGAACCCGTTTGGGCGGCCTGGATTGTTCTTCCTCATCGTCGGCTTCTCTGTCTGCCACCGCCGCTTCGCCTCGTTCCAGTACTCGCGCACCCATGCCCAGGAACCGCTGGACCCGGAGTCGGACGACGAGCTCTGCTCGGGGCTCCTGGGCCGCCCGGGCCTACGCCAGTCCCGGGAATCCCAAGACCAGGAGTCGCGGCCCTAGGAGTCCCACGACCACCAACCGCGGCCCCAAGAGTCCCACGATGACCACCGGGTCCAGCTCCTGCTTCTGCTTCTGCTTCTGCTAATGCTGGTGCTGGTGCTGGGGTGCCTCTTCCTCCTCCTCGCCCTAGTCCTGGAGCGGCCCCTCATCCTGCAGTCTCAGGGGATGCCAGTTATACTCCAACACCGACGAGCAAGTTACATCATGGGCCTTGAGTTGGTGACTAACGCACTTCAGGCTTCGCCTTGGACGCGATTTCACCAGCCCAAGCAGCGCCCCGCTTCCCACATGTGTCATACTCTGTCATGACAAGCAGGGGGGGGGGCGCCCCTGGTTCACCTGGCTGTCTTCTCAGGGGGACGCCCCGCTTCCCATGTATGTCTATCATAGTAGCCGCCTCTGACATCGTATATCTGTCTGCCTACATTGATGCACATGTCGCCTAAACTCCCTGGTTTCATAGGGTCCTGCTGGCGTTGAACGACGGTCCGCGACGACAACGACAACGACGGGCGACCGACCGATCGACCGCCAAAGGGACACCCCCACACCACGGCAATTCTCCGACACGCTCCGCAACGGCATTCCAAGAAAACTCCGACACGATTTATATATATATATATATATATAACCATAGAAAAAAGTTTTAGATATATGTATATATATATATATAAATATATATTATATATGTATATTTTTTTTATGTTTTATATATTATATATATATATAAAAAAAAAAAAAAAAAAAAAAAAAAAAAAAAAAAAAAAAAAAAAAAAAAAAAAAAAAAACTACCTGCAGACGCCCTGCAGCCATCGCTGCGGCTGCCGCGCGCCCCGCATGGACGGGGGCCCTCCGCGCGCGCAGCAAGGGCCGAAACTGGCTACGGAAGCTGGGGCAAAGAGGATGGGCGGCCTCACTACGCACCGAGGATGCTTCCTCCGTCCTCACCACTTTCCCCCCTCGGGAGGGAATGGGCCTACCTGGCGCCGAATGAACAGTCACGAGCCCATTCTGGAACCAAAAAACACGCTCTCGAGTGGCACCGCGCAGCGCCACCTCTGTGCACGCACGCCTGTCCATGTTATGTACGCGTGTGTGTATAGAATAGGATTGGATGTGTATGTGTATATATATATATATACATGTATATGTATATAAACTACTATTGAATATATATATATATATATATATATATATATATGTATACACATAACATATGAAGATTCGCGCGACGGCCTGGTTCGGCGGCTGCTGAGGGCGAGCTGGTGCGACGCCGCAGCGGCCGGCGGCGGTTTGTCGCGGCGACATGGGGGGTTCCACCGAACACGATACTCACAGCAACAGCGTTCCTCAGAACTGCAAAACGTTGGGCTTCTTGTCGCGTGGCTGGAAAGAGGAGGATCGCGATCCCTCTGGGCGTGCTCCGTGTGCCAGCAGTCTGGCGGCGATGGAGGTCCTGACTATGTCGACGGTGACGGCTGCGACACAGTGCACGAGTAAGACCACGCGCGAGATAGCGAGAGACAGAGTGTTGGTGCTGCAAGGAACCCCCCCAGGGCTTCCCAGGAGTCCCAAGGGGTCGGCGGTGCGGCGTAAGCCCATGAATCACACGAAAACTGTTGGATCAGCACATGGTCCGCATGGGCTGGCGCCACCTACGCAATGTCGGCGACGGCCTACTGTATATATCTATATATGTATAAATACATTTTGGCAGTCGCGGCCGAGCCCCAGCGGGCACACATGATCGTGATCTCCATACTCTGGTGGGACACGAAGTCGTATGCGGCACCGCCCCGTCGACACGAATACCACGAGAACCGATAGGCCTCTAGGTAAGCTCCACCGCCGAGGGAGCGGTCGCATGCGGCCCCCACCCTCCACCTCATTTCGGCATGCCACTCGCGCGCTTCGTGGCCATGTTGGGAAATCCACCGAAGGCTATACTCACAGATGCCATCATCACAGCTGCATATGATTGGGTCGCTCGCCAAAATAATGTCCCACCCATCCTGTGGTGGTGAGTCCACATGTTGAAGAGACAGCGCCCCGCGACTCCTCCTCCTCCTCCTCCTCCTCCTCCTCCTCCTCCTCCTCCGCCTCCTCCTCCTCCTCCTCCTCCGCCTCCGCCTCCGCCTCCGCCTCCTCCTCCTCCTCATCATCATCATCCTTCGCCTCCGCCTCGGCCTCCGCCTCCTCCTCCTCCTCCTATTCCTCCTCCTCCTCCTCATCATCATCATCAGCATCATCAGCATTATCATCATCATCATCATCATCATCATCATCATCATCAGCAGCAGCATCATCAGCAGCATCATCATCATCATCAGCATCATCAGCATCAGCATCAGCATCAGCATCAGCATCATCATCATCATCGTCATCATCATCATCATCAGCAGCAGCAGCATCATCATCATCCCCGCCTATGCCCTTCGCATGTCAACAATGTTGACACACACACGCCTCATGCGTTTCATGACCCCAGCTTCACGCCCCAGAGGGAGCGTTCACATGTGGGCATCATGCCTGTCTCGACACACCCCTCATATGCTCCAGTGGCACGTGTTTTCGACGTGGCACCAGTGGGAGCTCCACCGAAGGCCCTAAGGGAGCGTTCGCATGTGGGCGTCGCGCCCGTTTCGGCACACCCCTCACACGCTTCATGGCCCCAAAGGGAGCTCCACCGCAAAGGGAGCGTTCGCATGCGGCCCACACCCCCACCCCACCTCATTTCGGCGTGCCATTCGCGCGGTTCGTGGCCCTGTGGGGAAACCCACCGAAGACCATACCCACGGCAACGGTACTCACAACTGCATATAGCTGGCCCCTTCTCCAGGATATGTGTTTTCTGGGCGCGCCAGGGCACCCACCCAAGCGACATCCGTGCCGTCGACTCGCGCCGCCGTTTCGAGGAGCGCTCAGCGTGGCCGAGCGGGAAGCCTGCCATGCCAGCCGATGCGGGGCGGCATGGTGGCAGGGGAGACAGGAGGAGGAGGAAAGAAGGGAGGGAGGAGAGGAGGAGGAGGAGGAGCATAGCTGCCCCGATACGCAACACGCAACATGTAGCCTATTGCTACGGAGCTTAACACGTAGATTGAAAACGTAGGTATGGCGCGGTACGTTCGCCAAACGTGGGCCAACACGCTGAGCCAACACGCAATGTATTGACACGGACGTTTTGAGCACGGTACGCGTGAGCCTCCAGGTAAAATCACCCGAACGCGCGCGCGGCGATATTCCGCGCCCTGGAGCCCCGGAGGCGGGCAGCGTGAGTCACCGCTGGGGCAGCGCTGACAGCTCCACGCCCTTCTGCTCGACGCATAGCGCTGCGGCCAGCTTCGATCTTTCGCCTCGACTCACACGTCTCCGCCATTGCCTGCTGGGGCCGGAAACGGGGACTGCGTCCTCGCCGTCAGAGCCCGAGCCGTCGCTGACGTCGAACTGGTTCTCGTCCGCCATGCTGTCCCCGCAACAGTTGTCCGGAAAGTTAAAGACGATGCATGCCTGCAGCAGATTCATGACGCCGCAAAGACCAGCAAGACCTGGAAGATGAGTATGCCAGCCATGCACCATTCCCTGGTCCCCTAGTCCCTCACCCGCCAGGCGCGGAAAGGGTCTTTTTGGAGTCACAGCGTGCGCCGCATATCAGGGTCGTCGTCGCCGCCCACATCCATGCCTTCCTCCTCCTCCTCCTCCTCCTCCTCCTCCTCCTCCTCCTCCTCCTCCTTCACAGGCCAAGCCTGCCCACGGACCATGCAACCTATGACCTCCCAGTCCCCCTCAGCACCTCCCTGGACGCGCGCCACCTGGAACCTCAGGACCATGCAGTAGTAGGTGAGCACGCATCTCCACATCTGCCTCCAGAGGGTCTCCACCAACTGGGACTTTCGAAAGAAGACGGTGCTGATATCCTGATGCTCGAGCATCTCCATCTCACGGAGAAAGTGGGCCCCCTCCTCCTTCGAGACGGTGGCTTTGATCGAGCGGCAGGATGATGGCTGCTCATCCTGAAACCACCGCGCGCGATCTCCACCCGATGCCAGTGCCCGTGACGGTGAAGTAATCGAAGACGTTCTCTGCCTTCTCGTGCTCCACGCCGAGAGCGCACTCGTCAACGATCACTGTGCGAAAATCGTCACAGAGCTCTCGCCACCGCCCAACCTCCGCTGGAGCCCGACCGCCCCCGCGGGCCGTGGGCTCCTGCTCCCGCGGGGCTTCCAGCGGAAATCAGCAACGCTCGTGGCTGCACACGCCCTCCCGGCACTCCGCGTCCCCGCCGACCCCGAGCTCCTCACCGCAGCACCCGTCGAAGGTGAAGCCGTCCACCCAACACTCAGGGTTCCCCCGGTGGGCCTCGGCCGGAGCCAGCGTCGGGGCCTCGGTGGGGGCCCCGCGTGGCGCTGGCTAGGTCTCTGGCCGCCCCCAGGGGTTCAGCCCCCTGTCGTCCCTGTGCTGAGCGAAATTGCTCAGGGCCGCGCACTGGACGAAGTCGGTGCACCTGCACTCCACCCTTCTGCACTGGCAAGAACATCAGGACTACGCTCGGCACGGACAGCAGGCGCATGCCGAACTATATGTATTTATATACATATATATATATATATATATATATATACATATATACATATACATGTGTATATCTACATATATATATATATATATATATATATTCGTCAGCTGCACCCCCCTCGTGAGTGCTGCGTAGAATCCCTGGACGCCAGACCCCGACCGCACCACAGCAAGGAAAACGAGAAAGATGTAGCCCATGGTCTGCGAGACCGCGCCTGTTGTAGAAGAAACTCACCATCATCGCCCCCGTGACGGCATGCGAAGCGGCGATGGTGCAGACCACCTTCTGCCTCGCAAGTCGGCCCGAGAGCGACGCGGCCGAGTTCGACACCACAGCCTGGACCTGGATGACTTGTCGCACCGCCCAGAGCCGCCGCAGCCGGTGGCAGCATCTCGCGCACCGCACGGCCGCCGCTGCTCGGCGGCGACTGCCGCGGACCTCGGCCTCATCCAGAAGCCCCAGGCGGCCGCGACCCGGGCAGGCAGGCGACGGCCAGGGGGCGCCGGGTGCTGCGGCAGCTGGCGCGCGCGCGCTCGGCGCGCGGAGGGCCCTGCGCGCGGCCGCGGCGGCTCCGCGCGCGGGCTTGAGCCCAAACGGCAACGGACCAATCGGGGACCGTCTTGGGCATCCTGGAGGCCATCCTGGCTCTCTCGCAGGCGATGGCTTGCAAGAGAGAAAAAGGTGAGGAGGGAGATTCAAGCAGGGCGTCCCATATTGATTCCCGCGTTGTCCGTTTCCCACTTGCGGTCCTGTCGGGGCCCAGGCGGGACGGGAACTAGCAAACAGCGGTACGAACAGCTGCGATGATGGCTGGAGAGGCCTTCTCGGGGGTCCGTTGCGGGCTCTTTGGGGGTCGTCTTGTGGCTCTGTTGGACAGTCTTGGGGCCTTCTGGGGCCGTCGTGGGGCCCTCCTAGGGCTCTCTTGGGCCCTCTTGGGGACCACCTATGTCCCTCTTGGAGCTCTCTCGAGGATCTGTTGGGGCCCTCTGGTGCCGCTATTGGGCCGTCTTGGGACCCTCGTGGGCCATCCTGTGGCTTTCTTTGGCCTTCGTGGCCTTTCTTGGGAGCCTCTGTGGCCATCTTGAGGTTTGGGGCCTCGTGGGTCTTAGTGGACGCTGTTCGAACCAACAAAAGAAACGAGCATGCTGAAAATGCACGTTTCCCGAGAAAGGAATTGGACGATTTTTTGCTCTTGGATGTTCTCTTGGGGGCCTCTGGCGGCATCATCGCGGCCTCTTGGGCCGTTTGGGGACCGTCTGAAACCGTCTGGAGGCCATCCTGGCTCTCTCTCGGAAGCGTTCTGGAAGCCATCTCAGGCCGTTCTGGGTCATTTTGCAGCTTCCTGAGGCCGTCCGTGTCGCCTGGAGCCGCAACTGCAAGGCTTCCGCATGCTTCTGCCGACCTTCCGCCCGTGTCCAGGGCCAGATTTCGAAAGGTGCGCCCCCAGGCCCCCCATAGGGGAGTACTGAACGGGAACCCCTCCGATAACAAGCGGATGGTCACCGATGTGGCTCTGCTGCAGAAGCCTGCAAGTAGCCAACTCTGGAAACCTTGAACCACAAACCTTGCTCTCTTGTGGGCGCATCTTCTGCCTCCGCCAGGCTCCGCCAGCCTCTCGCCGGCTTCCGCCCGCGGATCCTCCGCCGTTTCACCTCCGGCAGAGTTCGCCGACCGTCCCGCCGCCCTCCGCCGAGGAAGAACCGCCAACACTTCCCAGAGCGCCCCAAGCGAAGTCGGGGCGCCTTCTGGGCGTCCGACTGGGTGTTCAGCCTCACCATGGCTATGCCAGACTTCCGGCCGTTGGGCTTCGTGAGCAGCTGGACCTGGCTTCTCGGGCGATGGGGGCTGTGCTGCTGCCCTGCCCGTCGCGGCACGGTGAAGCACTGACATCGGGATGCGGCAGGAGGGCAGGACCAGTCAGCATCGAATCGGGAAACCTGGTCAAACCGGAATGTGCGACGGATCTGGCTGCATCGGCACGGAGCCGAGACCGAATCGGATCGGCTGTGCCAGGACGCACGACAGCGCCATGCGAGCATCGGGCCGCATCGCATCGTCGGAAAGCCGAGACTGAGTCGGATCGGGCCGGTCGAAATCGATGTCAAAAATCGGATCGATCGGATCGAAAGGAGCCCTGCGAGGGTGCTGGGCCCTGACGAGGGGGAGGCGGCAGCGATTTCAAGCGGCAAGCGCTGCAGGGCGGTCGGGAGGACGGAGACGTGAGGTGCGCTTCCGATCGTGCGCTGCACCCCATGCTCGTCGTCGTCGTCGTCGTCGTCGTCCGTCGGGTTGGGAGGGCGGAGACGAAGGGGTGCGGGCATCAGCAGAAGAAAGCTAGTCCTGAGGGAGACGGGCCCTTCGGTAGCAACGCATGGGAGCCTCCCATACCATCTGGCTGGCTCTTAAGAACCGACGCTCGTCGACGCTACTCGGCGCTGAATCGACGCTAGTCGGCGCTAATTGACGCTAAATCAGTCAGCGCCATCTCATCGATGACCAGACGCTACGCGAGGCCGATCGACGCTGAAGACCGAATTGAGTGGGCACACAACACTCCCAAGAGTTGCTACCGACAAGGCTCCGAGATCTTGACGCCGCTTCCCCTGCCCCTGGGGCGCTCTCAACGTGCTCCGGGACCGTCGGAAAGCTGCTCGGGAAGCCCCAGGGCCTGGGACCCGCTTCCCTCGGGGCCCGTCTCCTCCGTGGCGAGGGCAGCCTGGGAGGCAGGCGGGCGCCAGAACGAGGGGTGCGGGCAGGGGTGAAGGAGGGGCGGAAGCCGAAGCCTGGCGGCTCCGCTGTCGTCGGCTTCCACTTCTCGCTCCCTGTCGCCTGCGCCTGTCGGGCTTGAGCCGGGTCCAGCCGCGAGAGTGGATCGGGCCGGAAGCGGAACGCAGCGGATCGCCAGCGAAGTCGCCCTGAATCGAATCGAAGTCGGATCGCCGCGCCCGGCCCTGGCCGTGCCCGGCCGACGCAGGCGGCGGCGAATCGGATCCGGATCAAGATCGCGGCCCCTGGCCAATCGGATCGCATCCGAGTCGGATCGTAGGCTGCCCTGCCTGCCCGAGGTTCTGCCCGCGCCCCAGCCTGAGCATGGGTGCTGCCTGCTCCAAAGGGTCGGCCCGACGGGCTGCTCCTTCCTGCCTCAATTCCTCAGCCTGTTCCGACCGCGTCGGGCCCGGTGTCGACGGCATCCACGACGTCGTACTTGGAGAAGAAGCAATACACGTCCTCGCTCCGGCCGCACTCGAATGACAAGCTGTGGGCGCTGACGACGATGCGAAGATCGATCACCAACGCGCAGTCGTGGCTGGCTGGAGAGAGCGAGAGGGTCGTATCTTGAACAGCTGGAGTGGGCCGTCCTCCGTCGAAAACCTGCAAACGTCCGAAGGTGAAGAGGCGGATATGAGCCGGTCCAGAAACCCTGAACCGAAAACACCTGATAGAGCCACGAACCCAAGCCTTGGAGCGCAGGTGAGCAGGATTTGCGAGAAAGACAAAAAAGTCAGGGGAGAATTCAAGCAGGGCGTCTTATCGGCCACCGTGCCGCGAGTCACGAGCTGGAGTGGTCTCAGGTTCCCTGTTGTCCTCTGTGCTGAGCCCTGCGGGTTGAATCCGCCGACCCCTTGTGGGTCTCTAGGCGTGTGAGATAGTTCCCCCCCCTAACCCCCCCCATGGGACCCCAAACCGACGATTTGACCCCCCCCCCTGGGCCCGGCCCGAGCGAACCACGGGCTCTTTTGGACCCAAAAGGGGCTCAAGAAGGGCCAAGAAGGGGAGGGGAAAGGAGAGAGGGGGGAGGGGGGGGGCAGGGGGGGGGGACAGGAGAGAGGAAGGGCGGGGGGGGGGCAGGAGAGAGGGAGGGGAGAGGGGGGGATGGACAGGAGAGAGGGGGGGAGGGGCAAGCTAGGTGCGCTCGCGTCATATCTGACATCCTACCCCTCCCTCCCATCCCTTACCATGGCGCAGATCCCCTCTCTACTCGCACATTCGGATGTCGAGCAGGGCAATGGTCCCGAAAGGGTACGCGATGCATTGTAGAGCACGGCATGGCATGGCGTAGAAGTGCACCGCGGAACGTAGCATCAACCTAGCATTGCATTGCATGCCGTGGCATGGCACGGGAAATGACGCCAGCGCTGCAGCGGGAGCACGAGTCGAAACGAGCGGAAGCACGGAAATGAGGCCAGCGCTGCAGCGGGAGCACGATCCGGAACGAGCGGAAGCACGCCGGAATCGGCCCGGGAGGCTCCTGGGCGCCAGAAGCAGACATTCAGCATTTTCAAAAGAAGAATGTGTATTGGAATGGTTATTTTTCGGCGCCGCCTCGGAACTCGATTTTCCGGCGCCGGCCGGAACCGGCTC